AATAAATGCATATTATAAGACAATGAAAGTGTTTTTTGACCTTGCATGCATGTCAACCTGTTGTTAGGAACTCCCAAAACCAAAATATGAACCTTTCATTACCCATAATAGGGTCACTTTAAGGCCGGGAACATGTCTTAAAGGGGTCATATGATGCGATTTCATTTTTTCCTTTCTCTTTAGAGTGTTACAAGCTCTTGGTGCATAAAGAAGATCTGTAAAGTTGCAAAGACTAAAGTCTCAAATCCAAATCATGCAAGTAAATCCAGTAACAGCTGAGAGAAACTAACAGAGTAAAGCAGACAGAAAAGCACAGAATCAAACAGAGCTTCATGAAGTATCTGTGAATCAGTAAGAGCTGATGAGAGGAATGAGCTGTAACTCACCTGTCAGAGCGAGGTGTGTGAGACGAGTGCAGCACACAGACTGAGAGAGAGAGAGAGAGAGAGAGAGAGAAACCTCTCACCAGATGCTGCTCGCTCTCTCTTTCTTTCTTCTGGTTTATGTGAAGTCCAGTGATTTTTTTCTCTCAGTGAGTTGTTTTATAAAGAGCAGTTTTAAAGTGACACACTCACTCTGAATCTTGCCTCAACATGCAGCAGTTTTTATTTGGACTGATTTTTCACTTGATGGACAAACACTGAAGGAGATTCACACCAGACATGAAGAAACACCTAGACACGATGGAAGCTTGTTTGTATTTTTTATTTTTTATTGTGGCAAAAAAAAAAAGAAAACAAAGAAAATTGTATGGGATTGAATGGAAACAGGCTTCTATAAGAAACATTGTAACATGCTAAAAACACTTTGGCAACCGCATAGCAACAAAATAACAACTATTCAAAACATTATAGCAACTGCATAGCGATGCCTTGGAAACCATCCAGGCACAGTTTAACACTGGAAAGCGTCACTCATGTTTTCCTCATTAAATGTAAAAAAGTCTTGATGGGAGCACTGATTGTTGTTCATTTATGCATCATGTTTGTCAGTTTCACTACAGCTCTCTGAATCTCAGTGTGTTTGTGCTGTAATTGAGCACTGGGATCTCTGGCACGCGTCCACACCCAAAATGAGTGTGTGTGAGAGGAATACACACACACACACACACACACACACACTCACACACATCACACACTCCAGCAGATCCTCACCATCATCACGTCCTGCTCTGAGAGGATGAGGAGGAATCAAAGCATGCTGACATCACACTTCAGACTCCGCAGATGATTTAACGACAGACGAAGGTCTTAAAAGTGATGCAGACTATTAATGGAGCCACAGATGCAATAACTAGTCTTTCTTCTTCAAGTTATTTGTGTAGGCAGCGTTTAAAATGAATGATTGTTCCATCACACGTTTTCATTTGTTTCTGGGAGTTGTGGCGCCCTCTGCTGGAGAGATCTTCACTCACAGATTCATTATTCACGCTGTGTGTGTGTGTGTTTGTGCGCGTTTTTGTGACAAATGAGGACATACATTTGTATAATGACAAAAAGCTAAAAGTGCTACCGCCAGACCCGGAGATCGGTTGAATGGATTAGAAAACGGTAAAACTCAACTGTTTAACTCTAGGGGAGTTGGAAAATGAGCCTATTTTCAAAAATAGTGGCGTGTTCCTTTAAATATCACCGGCTAAAAAGTAACTAGTACCGAGTAGTTTTCGAGAGGAGTACTTTGTAGTTTTACTCAAGTACTGTTTTGACACCAGTACTTTTACTTGTAATTGAGTATTATTTCAGCAATGTAACAGTACTTGTAAGTACAAATTTTCAGTACTCTTTCCACCACTGCTAATTTGGCGGGTCACTTTTCGTAAGTTATGTTCACTCATTAATTTCTTGGGGAAGTTCATGCAAGCCAAATCTGCGCAGGTTTAGTGCAAATACTGAACTCGTGAGACATCATGACGTTATCGAGTATACTGCAAACACCAAACAAAACACACCTACAGAGGCAAGCATAAGCCAAAGTTATGCATTTACAGTGCGTTCTTTCACTGCATGATTCAATCTATTAATTTGCATTAAGAATGATCACATACTTCAAAGATAAGGGGGCAGAAAATGTATATATTTCATATAGTTGATATCACACGAAGAGTGCCGTTTAAAAAAAAATCAGCATGGTTACAAATGTGATATTGATTTTATACAACAGTTCAATAAACAATAAGTTAATATCAAGAGACTTACGTTTTAGACACCATGCCTACTTTTGCTCTATTTCGCCATTAAAAATACCTCCAAACACAGCTACAGCAGTTTTGTGTCTCTGAGCAACATGATTGTTTTGTTCTCTCTCCGCATTCGTCACTAATCACGCAACGCCGACGTCTGACGTCATCCGCCCGAAGGCCTTCCGTGTATGACGGACACCGGAAGTGAGAAAAGTGTTTATTACGTTTGAAATATGGATATTTTTCTTACAAAAATGCATGCATTTGCTACAGAAGGCGTTTATTCACCCCCCTGCTTGCTGCTGGTTTTTGCTGGTTGCTTTCGTCAGGTCCGAACACACTCATCTCTCCGGATCTGAGGAATCAATCACAAACAGTAACTGTACACACATTTACAATGCTTCTTGCATGAGAACGACTGCGCTGTTTGGATCCTGAATCCTGAACGCAGCGTAAAGCTCCTGATCCTCAGGAAAATCTGCCTCAAACGCGTGCAAGGGTTTATACTGTGGACTCAACATATAGAAGCAAACAGAACCAGCGTCCCGGTCCACGAACACACCCAGTTTTCTGACGGACTCTGACTGAATTGGTACAGTTTTATTGTTGTGACTAGCCTCACATAAATTATCTGACAAACATAAACTCCACGACATCTCATTGTGTCCCAGACATACGGCGTCACTCGCTCCCTTCCGCTGCATTCCCTTACAGGCCACGCCCACATGCACGTCTCGGCCAATCACATCCACCTTAAAGAAGCGGCGTCCAATCAGCGGCTGG